GTAAAAGCACTCCTGTGAAGCTTTATCAAAGCTAGCATTTCTCATGAGATTTATTTTTTATTGTTTGCTTTTGAGAATTGGCAGTTCCCAAAGAACCCAGCTGGTCTGTCGCACATCCATTAATAATGAACTGAAAGCCCAAATGCCAAGTGCCAGAAATCGTAATGTTCTGTGAGAGGAGCCAAATGGATAAGGCAACTGTCAGATCTCCCTGGGTATGAAGGAAAACACACACACACACACACACACATACATATATGTGCCTACGCAGTGAACCAATTATTTTTTATATTGTTATACAGTAAAAGAGACAATAAGAGAAGGAAGCAGAGTTCTCATCGGTCCCATCTCATTACCTAGAGATGCCATCTCAAGAATCAGTTAAATGAAGATGGTGGTTAATGTGGTGCACATATAACAAAACAGTGCTGCCAAGAAAATGCTTCAGAAAGGCTTTGTATAAATTATTGCATAATGGCCTTTCTTTTCAAGAGGCAGCGTTTAGCAATATATGCCTTTTTTGACAGTTTTTCAGTTGTATGTATGTATGTATGTATGTATGTATGTATGTATGTATGTATGTATGTATGTATGTATGTATAAACCGCAAAAGCACAAAATAATATAAAAAATAAATCAATACCCAAAATAATGTTGTATGGATAGAGTTAAAGCTTAGATAGCTAGGTTGCGACCTGACATCCTTCTCTTAATGCATGGTGTAAAATAAAATAAATTATATAAAAACATTTTGACATGCTGCTTTTCATATTGCATCACACTGATGTTTGTGTATGATACACACTGGACAGCATCTTTACACATTTCATGTAGACCAAGACATATCAACACTCCAAACAAAGTTATTACTAACAGGACTCGACTTAAACGCAGGGGATATTGTACTTTTGCTGTTGCAGTGATGCAAAATGCTTTACCACTGCATATTAGAAAAGCCTCTTCAACAGATGTTTTTAAATCTGCTCTTAAGACCCACCTCTTCTCTTTGGCACTTGAACCAGCCTTAGGTTTAAAACAATTATACCTTCTTTTGCTCTAAGGTGTATTTTATTCTGCTATTTTTGCTTGGATTATTTATTTTTTTCTCCCAATTATCATATATGTTTAAAATGTTAATCTTAACATTTATTTCAGTCAATCCATTTATGTTTGTGCGGTATTTTAGTCAATGCCTGCTGTTTTTATACAAATCCTGTTCCAGAGATAAGGATGTAGTCTTACTACTTCATGCAAGAAAAAGCACTGGACAAAATTCAGATGGTAGTAGGGTTATCTTAAAGACTAATTAAATCAAACACACCTCTACCCTACAAGATGATGTTTCTAGTTTTAGGATGTGACCTGAGATTCTCTGCAATATTTTCTTAAATGATGGTCTGAATTCTGTCATATTTTGATTGATCTGATTTCACTTCTTATCAGTTTTACCACTGTTCCTTTTATCTGGTACATGACTTCTCCCACTACCAGCTGAGAATGTACAGTCATGAAAAAGACAATTAAAGCAAAGTAAAAAATGTTGCTCACAGGGCCCATATTATTCTTATTTTTGTATGGTTGGGAGAAAAATTGTCCTCATTTTGAACTGAAGCCAAGCAGCATTACAGCATTTCAATCGAGGAGAGGTCTGGAACCTTGATCATTCTGCTGCAGAATAGCTGTTTTCTTTTGATATCATTCTATATTTGATTAAAGAACTGATAGATATATGCTGATCTCAAAGAATGAAAGTAGAGAACCCAACCTGGAATAATAATAAAAAAAGCCTGGCTGCAAAAAAAAAAAAAAAAGATAATAATTTAAAAAACACAAAACACGGCATTGAATTCTGTTAGGTTAGTCCCCACTGCAATACAGAAAATAAGAGTCACATTGATGTTATTTGAAAAGAAATCAGGCCAATGGAAGAAACTGTTACCCATGAGTTCAACAATCTAATTATATCAGAAAAGTTTTGTTCTTTTCTTGGTGCCTCAGTTTGTTTGCTTCTTCATCAGCTTTTCAACCCACTCAGTAATCCTACCTTCAGCTCCTTATCTGACAACAATATTCATCTAGCTCTCTGGTTCCATCGCTCTTTTGGATACCACTGCCTCTGTCGTGTCTTTCAGTTCACTCCTTTACTGAAAGTCCCTCATTGTCTAAGGCCTTTTCTTTTCACAATGTCGCCCACTCCGCTCAGGCAACCAACCTTGTTTCCCTCTGCCAACATCAACTTCCTTCCAGCTGACAGTTTTTTCCACCCACATCCCTATCTTCCTGAGTCTTTGTCTGCCTGTTGGCTCAAAGACATAGCCAATTTAATTAGAAATTATTAATATAGGTTGAACATTTTATAAATGGATCTCTTCTGCAACATGGAGGACATTAATTGTAGCTGTAGATGTTCTGCTAGGTTTTCTTGATTACCACCAACAATCTTTTGACATTAAATAAGTATGATACAAATATATCTAGCATGTGTGCAACTTGTAACCCAATTCTAGAACATTGAGAATTCAAGAACAATTTCAACAGTTATTATTTCCCTCTTCTAGACCTTATTTGCCCATAAATGCATTTGATGCAGTGGTGGTGTGACAGGCTGTGGTTAAAAACACACAGGCAACTTTGATGTGACAGAATGGGTCAGTGGAGAGTAGAACATAATACATTTTATCATTTTAAGGGATCTCTTTTGAGGACAACTGGCAGAAATCCCCTGCATGTTGATAAGCAAGAGGTGTCTCAAATTAACAAAAAAAAAAAAATTTATAATCTGAATAAAAAAAGAAAAAGATTAGCCTTTTTCATTGTCAAAAAG